GTAGTTAGGATTTTAAATGACCTTTTCCTCGATAATTAATGGGAAATTCAATAAAAAGTAAATATTATATTGTTTGGCAAATTTTCGAACAACAGTTCATTCTCAAGCCACATGAAACAATTGACGACGAAGTTTTATAACTGCCGCCAAGCTACATTTTTTGAATTCTCACACGTGATGTACAAGGTGCAGTCTTCTTAAAATCAGAAATCTGAACTTAATCGATCATATCCCAAGCTGTTCCTATGATCGATTAAGTTCAGATTTCTGATTTTAAGAAGACTGCACCTTATACATCACGTGTGAGAATTCAAAAAATGTAGCTTGGCGGCAGTTATAAAACTTCGTTGTCAATTGTTTCATGTGGCTTGAGAATGAACTGTTGTTCGAAAATTTGCCAAACAATATAATATTTACTTTTTATTGAATTTCCCATTAATTATCGAGGAAAAGGTCATTTAAAATCCTAACTACATATATCAAGATGTTCCTCGCTAGAGCACTGCATACTATTTCTTCATAAAAACTGAGCTCTTGGGAGCGATTGCCGTGGTTCAATGTTTTACGTCGAAATCGGCCGAACATGACGTCACTCTGACGTCATTTCCGGCCGACCTATAGTAGCTAGGAAGTTCAAATTTTGACACAAGGTGTCAAATTGATGCAGCCTAAGGTACTGAAAGTTTGGCGTCGATACGTCAAGCGGTTTGGAAGTTATTGCAGAAAAACGGGAGGGGGGGCTATAAATAGCCCCCCGCCAGTGGGGCGCGGGTTAACCTCCGCGAACAAAATGTAATGAGCGGAAGGAACGAATACAAATCAATAAGCGCCAGCTATTGGCAGAGTTCTGTTGTTATGCAAACATGCATGAATTATGGTACACTGACTGCAGTAACTGTAGCAGGCGCTCACTCATAAAAATGGCGCTATATTACTCCACGCCATAGATACTTATTTTCAGTGGCGACACCAGAGAAAATATGCATGTCTTGCATGCTTCATACACATGCCTCTCGGACAGATTTTTTCCAAAAGACTTTGTAATTCAGTTTTGGTCCAGTCAATCCTACCACCTACAAAAGGAGGTCTTAAGACACATGGCGGCAGCCGGCAGAGAATCTGATCTGATCTATTTTCATATCTTTAAATCTGATCTTCAAATATCTTCTTCTTCTTCTTCTTCTATCTCTTATCATGTATATCTATCTTCTTCAAAGATAAATCAGATTAAAGATCTCCGTTTTCACGACGGCTATCTAGTTAGTACACATTTGGTTCAGTTGGTGCAGATTTGGTGCAAATTTGGTCAAATTATGTTCATTGTACTTTTTGGAAGCTATGAGATCGGGTTGCACAGTTGCTTATACACAGTACAGTACAACACAGTAGTTATATACCTTACTTTTCAAATTATCGGACATTATGTTATATTGAAACACTGAAATAATTTCATGATATGAAGATGTTTGTTGTAAAAGAGGTTTGGTGCAGATTTGGTCAAGTTTGGCGCATTCGCCAGACAATTCGTCTTCAAAACCCACCACATGGTAATGTGACAGCGTAAGTGACGTGCATTGCTGTGCACATAACAGGGCATTCTGTTCACATTCATCCGAACCTTACAACAAGAACGATGCTGTTTTGAATTGCAAGGAAACGGCAGATGGTGATACATCTTTTGGTGGGCGGTCACTTAGTGCCGATTTGATACTATGAAAACACATTTCATTATGTGCATTTACGTGTCTGTTGTTCGCTGCGGGTAACAATCTTATCCATAAGAACACCTGCTACATTTGAATATCTGACACTCATAAATGTCAGCTAAACCTGTTCATTATTTCAATTCGTTAGTGGGGCATAAACAAAGTTCGGAGCGTGAAAGCTGACAGACGCAATTAATTTTCAGAGAAGTTGCCTGGTGGCCTTTTAATATTTATAAGCAGCCTATAACCATGAGGCTTCGGAATCTTGACCAGGTGCAAGTCTGTCGGGCGTGGGCAGATATGGCAGTTGCATCATATAACTTCAAATGCCAGTCTGGCTGGCTGGCATTGTTTGCCACCGCAGCACTCAACCCAACGTGCAGACTTAACGGGAATAACAGCTCATCCAAGGACGCGAAATATTTGGCTGTCTAATGATTTGGAAAGTGTTCCATCTATCATTTCTTTCCGTCAAAACTGCGTCCTGTCTTTTCAGTTGTGTTACTTCCTTTTGTACGCATCGTTTATTGTTTATTTTATTGTTTATTTATTGGCATAGCGTCCACAGGCAAAGCCCCACTTACGGGTGCAGTCGCACACTGACAATAACAACCACTCACACACACTGGATGGAAATAAATATGAGTGATAACACTGATCAAAATCCAAATAAATTAACAAGATGGCAAGAGCCTAAAAGTAAACCGACAGGCAACAGCCTAAGAATATAGAAGACATGAGCATTGAGCAAAAGCCTAAGAGAATATACAAGTATAGGCACCTGGCTAATGAGCGAGGCTAAAAGTATACTGACATGAGAAATCTCCTAAAAGTAATCAGCACAGGCAATAGCCTGAAATCCTAAAAGAGTGTAGGTATAAGCAAGAATGACAGTGGATGAAATAAAAAGACAAAAAAGACGAAAAATGAGCGTAGACAATGACAATGAGAATAAAACCGGTAACGGCTAGTTGCTACATGAGGAACTATATCAATGACCTTAGGCTAAGTATGTTCCCTGGTCGTCAGCAAATTTGGCTATCTCCGACCTTAGCCTGCAGCTAGGCATAAAGAAATCGGCCTCGGGGCTGCTGTGGACAAGCGAGTTCACGTGCTGGGGAAGACGAATAAGAAATCCTCGCTTCACAGTGTCCACTCTTCCGCGCGGCACATGAAAGAGCTCGGGACGGCGCGTGCGACGGCCGGGTGCCGATAGAGAAAACATGGCCAAGATGTCGGGACAGTCCAAGCGACCACTGAACACGGAGCGCATGTAGTTGATGTCACACTGTGTGAATCGTGACCTCACTGATTCGCAGCCGAACAGTTTAAGCAGCGATGCATAGTCAAGTGAAGGGCACCTCGCCTGTGTCCGGGCGCCCAGCCACATGAGAAAACGGTGCTGTAGTCGCTCTAATCGGCGCAGGTGGGTGACAGCGGCACCCGACCAGATAACACAGCCGTATTCCATTACGGAACGCACGTGCGCCTTGTAGGCGGTGAGGGCTGCGACACAGTCGAACTGCGCTCGATGCACCCACGAGACCTGCATGCTCCTCATCAGCAAGCCCAGCATGCGGTTCGACTTCGAGACTATAGTGTCAACATGGTCTGCGAAGTTAAGCTTGCTGTCACACATTGTGATGTTTATTCACATTCGATGATAACGCAAAAGCAAATATTCTCAATAGCCAGACGTTTTGGCCTCAGGGTGCCTTCGTCAGTGACATTATCGAGATACTATTACATTAACCCTCGCGGGCCCGGGGGGGGGCGTTTTTCGCCCCCCCCCCCCTGGCGAATATTTGCGATAGCTCCCGAACGCTTAGGGATAGGAAAGTGAAACTTTCAGTACCTTTTCTCCCATCAATTTGACATCTTCTGAAGTAAAAAATTTGGACCTAGCCCCCTTGATGACGTCACAAGGTCCATTTTTCTAGACCCCTGCACGGCAAACTTCGGCGTCACAGACGCAAACTTCAAATAGCTACTAAAAATAGAGTTTTAGAGATAAAGACAAATTAAGAGCACGGTTGTGTAGCGTTTGACCTAGAGAAAAATAGAAAAATAGTTTTGGTGACTGAGGTCAGAGGTCAGGTCAACGACCTCGAAATGTGGTTTTAGTTTTTCGCAAATAACTTCGACAAAAATGGTCCTAGAGCTACGGCAGTGGTACCATCGCATTCGCCTTGTCAAGCCGCGTCGAATGATATATATTTTGTTCGGAAAAGGTCAAATTTTATGTTGACCTCATGTGACCTCGAATGACCTCTGGTTGACCTTGACACATGAAAGGTCGTTTATGATGGATTTGTATCCGCTGATCACGAATCTGGCATCTATTTTCCTCTTAGCCTTCATTTAGAGCTTCCAAATGGCAAAATTGTCTTATTTATTATAACTAACTTGAATTAGTGAAATAGCCTCTAGCAGGGATACTCTTCTGTGACCTTGACCTTTGAGCAGCCTTGTATCGTAAGATGAACCACAAATAGGGAACTGATAAGCCTCAAAACATTTCAAAACATCTTGGAAGTTAGCACGCAAGATGTGCGAAAAAGTGCCAAGTTTGAGGTCAATTTTGAGCGTGACCTTGACCTTGACCTTTTCGGACTCCTCAAATTCTCTTCTTTCGTTTGACACCCAATTTTACCGGTTTGATGCAGCCTGCCGTCCTCTAGAAGGCTTACTTTGAGATCACTGCACATGTGCCGGTTTTTGCCTTTGACCTTGACCTCTGACCTTGAAAATTGACCTGAGGTCAAAAATTTTAGGTGCTTTAGAATCGTCTCGTAAGGACCTTTCGTTTGGTATCGCTTTTGTTTCCGTAGCTTCCTTATTTACGGAGTTAGACAGGGGGGCGAAAAACGCCCCCCCCCCCCCGGGCTGCGATGGTTGGGATTACCCCCCGGGCCCGGCCGGGTTAATAAATTGATCAAAATCTTTTACACTTCCAAAGTAAACATGACCTAGACTAGAGAATGGTTGAAAAATATCCAGGTCATGTTTTCCTCCAAGTCTCTTTTCCTCTCAATTAAATTTTATCGAGGAAGAAAAACATGATATTTCTCCAGATATTTACTTGGTATGGTAACGTAAGTAGCGCACGTTGTAAAAATGAATAACAATATCCAAATACATTTAAATGCCTTTGAACTTATTTCAGTGTTAAAAACCGTCTGTAACTGCAGTTGAATTACGAGCTCGCTCACGAGTTCAGCCAAGCCTTGTAAGTAGGTACCGCTGTGAGTGTGAAGGTTCACATTCCTGATGGGCAACGATGAGTGCCGCAGGCCGGGAGTCCTAAGCCCCATGCATCACCATCATCAGACCTCCGGTTCCTGAAGATTTATTTATATCGGCCTCCTTTTGTATGACCTAATCACACGATCTAGCATACAAACGTTTACAGTGGCTTGTGTGTGCTGCACCCATACAGAAGCTCTGATAGCATGTAAACAGGGAATACGGAGAACTACAGAACGGTGCTAGGTGCATCAACAAGCCTTTGTGGAGGCAGTGGGGACGCTGGACGACCAACGACCTTGCTGCTCGGGTAATACACAGAGGTCGCTCGATTCCTTGTACCGAGCCCTCGCGTCTCTGTAGTTCGGGGCCCTCATTTACCCATGGCAAAGGCATTCCATAGTAATTGCCTTCGCGAAGCTGTCCGTTGCTTTTCAATGGCCAGGCGTGTAGCGGGAGCGGCCGATTATCGGGCTGCTATCGACCCTGCGGTCGCCTGAGGCACGCGCTGCCCCCGCCGCGCGGCGCGGCGCGGACCCCGGCGGCGCCGGACCGCCCGCGGCATCAGAAGGGCCCGCGAGTCCGCCGGCGGAGGGCGCACATACCTGGCGGCTGCCGGTCAGATCACCGCCAGACTGAAGAACAATCGGAGACACACACCTTCGCCATGGGTGAGTGCCGGGTAAACAGAGCGGGGGTGCTTTGGAAATGGGTGACTTGTGGCTGGAGGAGCATCTTTTGTAAAAAAAAAAAAAAACGAAATTCCGTCGAGCACCGCGAATCACGATGTCTTGGTAGTATTTTTATCGTTGCTGTCACATTGTCAGTGAACTAAGAAAAATTGAAACAATCTATACTTGGATGATGCCCATTCGAGTATTTTCATTTTATTAATTTTCTTTTTAACCCGCGCCCCAGTGGCGGTCTCCGCCAACTTCGCCCTAGTGGGGGGGGGGGGCATATGTTACCACCCACCTCTAACTCAAAAACTAAGAGGGCTAGAAAGACGTGGTAAAAAGTAGTCAATAGCTCTCAATGCGTAGGGGAAGCCGGGGGAAGCCCGGGCGCGGGGGAAGCCCGGCCACCCCGTTTCCGGCTAAATTATTCACAATAAAATGCTCAACTGTTTGTCCTTTCAGCGTGGCAGCTAAGGTAACGCCAGCAAAAAAGTTAAGACTGACAAAAATTGCATATTGTTAAAGTTATAGCGCAAAAATGATATTTTAAGGGTTTTTAGCTAAAAAGTGAGATATGTTGCACTGTTAATGTTATACCATACAGTACTAATATTTATACGAATGTTATGTAAGGACCGTTTAAGTGTTTGTAGTGAGGGGTGACGAGGCAGGCTGGCTTAAGTATGACATTTTTTTCGAATATCGCTGTTCTAAAATAAAAATTAGCACATTTGGGTAACCCCGGGCGAGTGGCCAAGCTTACCCCAAACCGAGAGCAATGCCACTAAACCACTGTTTTCCATGAGATAATAGGTACTGAGCAGGTTTGGTTTACACCTAGATCAAAGATAAATTTCGAAAATAAACATGTTATCATAGACAAAGCCAGTCATGTCACTTAAGGTCAACTAGGGTCAAACTACGTTTTTGCAGATAACGCGACAGACAGTGAAGCTAGAGCTTCAAAAATGGTGTCGTTGTGTTCTTCTTCATCAGCCGAGTCCAGTGATATGCAATATGATGCATTAAGGTAAAAATAAAAATAAATTTTAAGGAATTTTGAAATACACATTTTTTGTCAATTTTGCATCACGATTTTCATCGACCTGTACTGTATATGTAGTAGACGCTAGCTAAAATACCAGTAGTGACATAAACTCTAAGATGTCCAGAGCTAATCAGTACCTTAATATTTCACTTTCCGTTAATATTTGGAAAACACATAATGGTTTCATCAACTCGTTGTAAAGCGCTGGGGAGGTGGCCGGCGTTACCCCTATGCCGGGCTTACCCCAGAAAAATCAACACTTTTTTAAAACTCGATTTTCTCAACCTTATACTTATTCCACGAAACCGAATTTTTGGGAAAACACGGCCAATGAACTTAGCTAGCTAGCAGGATATCAACATTTTATACAGCACGTATGGTATGTAATAAAAATGAAAAAGAGCTTACTATGCCGGGCTTCCCCCGGCTTCCCCTACGTTTGAAAGTATTTCGGTCATTTTTCATCTTAGAGCAATATTGGGGTCACCAGAGGTCATCAAAGGTCAAAATCTGCCAATGGTCATTATATTTTTCAGAAAACATGCCGTTATCTCAGGAACTATGGTAGCTAGAAAAACGCATGGAAAAACAATCGATAGCTCTTGGACTCTTCCATAGGCGTAGGAACAGGGGGGCCGGGGGGCCATGGCCCCCCCGCTTTCGGAGGTGGGGGGCCAGCAATGTTAACTGGCCCCCCCACTTTTTGCTGACTTAAGTGTCTATCTGTACCTACCACCCGGTACCCTAAACACCAGAACTTGACAACTATTCAGCTTGCCCTTTAGTGAAGATTCCCTTTTGTTTCTACAGCGTTATTGACCGCAATTTCCTTCACTCAATGAAGAAAACCATATCAGAGACAAGACTGTGAGTCCTGGTGCCGCAGCATTTTGTTGATTAAGATATACGGGACAGCGAGCACTGAAAAGGTATAAAGACAATACTAGCACGGTGCAGGAGAATGCGTATACAAACGACCAACGCTTGACCAGATCTGCTTCACGGGGTCGGCATAGTTCGTCAAAGGCGTACTAGCTGGGGACCAGGGTGACCGTGCCCCCGCCTCGGTTCAAACAGGCTGGGGGCTAGCAATGTCTGTATCTGCCCCTCTATTTGCCCCCCCCCCCAAACAAACAATGGGCCCCCATGGGCGTATGGGGCTCTGGCACTTATTCGATTGTCACGAGGCTCAAGAATCCCACGCCAGCTATTAACAGCTTCCAAACCAGTCTTTGAGGGTCCTACACTGATCTCGGAGGGCCCTTCAATGGCGGTCAAGCGCCCACATTGACCTCTGAGAACCCACATTGACCTCTGAGGGTCCTCCACTGGCATTTGAGGGCCCCTAAACCGGCCTCAAGGGCCCAGCCGACGTCTGAGGGCCTCACACCGGCCTCTGGTGGCCTCATTTCTGTCTATGGGGTCTCAATACTAGCCTTTAGGTGCCTCTGAGGGCCCCGCACTGAATTCTGGAGACCCGATGCCGACCTCTAAGGGTCTGCATCGGCCTCTGAGGGTCCATCTTGGCCTTAGGGGTCCAACGCCGGCCCATGCCGGTCTGTTACGGTCCCACACTGACCTCTAAGGGCCCATGCTGGCCTGTAAGGACCCACATTAGCCTCTGAGGGCCTTGCATTGGATTCTGAAGACCGATGCTGGCCTCAGAGGCCCATCTTGGTTTTTGAGGGCCTTCTGCTGGCCTCTGGGGTCCAACGCCGGCCCACGCCGGCATTTTAGGGTCCCACACTGACCTCTGAGGGCCTATGCTGGCCTGTAAGGACCCACATTAGCCTCTGATGGCCCAAGTCTCAAACTGCTCTTTGCAGGCCCTGTACTGGTCTCTGAGGGCCTTAACCCTCGCCGGCCGAGGGGGGGGGGGTGCCGCCCCTCCATATAGTTTTTTTCGCGATAGCTCCGAACACGCCGGCGATAGAGAGCTGAAGCTTGGCATACCTGACCTTTGAATCAAGCCGGATCTTTTGACACCAACCGCATTTTCGGGTCAGATCAGGTCACTGACCTATGAGGTCATAAGTGAACCTCTGCACGGTCTTCAGATGTCGCAACTTCGCAACGCCCTCACTGCCAGAGGAGATTTCACAGGGAAATGAACCTTGCAGGACCTAGTATCCATTAGAAGTCTCACAACTTGTACATCTCGGATTTTCTTAAGGTCATATGAGGTCAGGTCATTTTCGTGACCTCACCATTAGGTATAAGTCAATGGGGATAAACTGAAAACTTTTTCTGGCGCCGGGAACGAACTCCAACTATCTCAAGCACACCGAATCGTGATTTCATGCACTCCTTGCAAGGTTCGATGCGTCACTTTTGCAATGTTGACCTTGCGCGACGTCATTTATGACGTTATAAGGGTCATATTAGTTTTTCGTCAATAACTACCGATCAAATTGAGCTAGCGAGTCGGGAAAGCCACCAATGGACTCAGGAAGACCTTCCGAATCGAAGGATATGAGACATGACCTCATTCGACCAATTTCGTGACCTGGGGGCGCTGACCTGACCGTGACCCGAGGTCAATACTCTAAGTTTACCTCACCCAAACAAAAAGTATATCATTCGACGCGCCTGAGAGAGGCTAACACGATGCTGGCAAAATCGCGGCTCTGTGGCTGTTTTTTTGCGAAGTTATTCACCAAAAATGGAACTGTGCCTTGAGGCACTTGACTTGACCTCAGGTCAACGGTTGACCTAGGACCTTAAAATCGGGTATCGATCTCTGCGTCTCGTAACGGCGCACACGCTCGTTTTTTCCGCGACGCGCTAGCTTCACCTGGGGCAAAACGGCGAGGGGGGTCGTACCTGCTCCCCGCCCCCTCGGCCGGCGCGTATATAGAAAACTTATAGGTCCGGGCCGGCGAGTGTTAAACGGCCTCTGAGGGTCCAGACCGGCCTCTAAAAGGCCCACACCGGCCTCTGACAGTCAATCAGCCCAGTTGCAGTGGTCGCTAATATAAAACCTCTTAAAAACGTTACAGGCCTGGCTGAGCCTAGCTGGGCCGTTCATGCTGATTTTTATAGGTATATTGAAAAGACTCGCTTTGCACATTTCACGCTTGCTCTTAATGAAAAAGCTGCTGGATGCCTCTGGAATTTGCATGGGTGCCAACGGCTGCGGAGGACAGGGGAACGCGTCAATCAGTTTGAGTTTATGGACGGGACTCTCCCTGAAATTTAACTACTTTTATTTTTGGTTTTGTCTCGATTTTTTTTTACCTCTGAGCATGTTTGCGAAAACAAAGTGGCCGAAATCCGAGGAGAAATTGGATTTTGGGGGTGGGTTAGGTTTTAGACCTCTGGGAGCCTGGCCCCCCCACTTTCGAAAACGTTCCTACGTCTATGGACTCTTCTTTTGAAAAGGTCATTATCAAAATTGACCTCAGGTCACGGGTTTAGCCTCCAGAGGGCAAAAATTCCAAAAATAGCTGATTTTACGAAAAGTGTTTTTGACAATAACTTTCGACAACAAAAAGCCACGACATTTCTATTGCCAGAATCGTGTTCCTCTCGCCGAGACGCGTCGAATGAACTATAATTTGACCTTGAAAGGTCAACTTGAAAATTTGACCTCAGGTCAAGGTCATGACCTGACCGGAAAAGGTCATGTTGCATATCAGTCGATGCGTCTCGGCAAGATAAACACAATGAGACCATCCCCAGCGTTCTATCTCTTTCCAATCGCGAGCTATTGGCAAAAATCTGTTTGTAGCCTCAAATGACCTCGAATGACCTTTCTAGAGGCTATCAGCAAAAATGACACCCTGGTCATCACGGGTGGTCCAAATCATTGTGATTCTGAAATATTTGGACTGTTCCTATGCGTACACACGGATCTAGAGGCATTTTCATTTTTCTCCATTGACTTGTAATGGAAAGGTCACTCCACTGACCTGACCTTAGGTCACGGATATAAAAAATCCGAGAT